TGAAGCAACCTAATGGTGGCAAGTGCGTCACAATCCTCTATCCGCCGGTCAGGCAACTACTCAGTTGAAAATGACGATAACATTGTGTACCCTCCAACGTCCGCATTCTTATGCAATGACTTGCACGTTCCCCGATTACAGTTGTTCCGCCATTGTGCAGTGGTTCCATCATTCTCACAGACGGCACGTGACTTTCGAAAAAAGGGGGGACGGGCAGTTGCATAAAATTGAATATAAGAACAATTTTTATTTGAGAAATTATTCTGCCATAGATTTTTTCACCTAAACTCTAGACGCAGCCACTGCTACGGCCTAATCGGGACAATCAGACAGTGTCAAAAGTGGACCAATATGGTGTTCGTCATTAGAGGCTTGTGCTTTTGACACTGCTTGATTGACCATTATATCGAAGCAGCTCCTGCATTTGAGCTTAAGCTGAAACGAAGTAGTGTGAATAAAATCACACTAGCCTTGGCGCCGACAGATTAAAGGCCGGTTCTCAATTACAGTGGAGCACTTACATAGCGGTGTTCACGTGGCGTCGGCTACTTATTGGCTCCCATGATCAACCGTTTTGACGGTGCGACACAGATATGGTGAACGCTTCCGTGATCATGCGCTTTATGTGTGAACAGGCCTTTACCGTAGTTGAGACGGTCGGTCGCACGTGCATCTCTTCTGGGTTTTTTCTTTGTATCAGGAGGGATGGCTGCTGCAATCTATCGTCGTGGAAACCCATCGAGAAAGCGGAGACAGCCATCTCTGCTGTCTCGGGAAATCCGGTATCTCGGCCCGCCGGTGTCAGCCCTCTCTTTCTTTGCGGAGCTCCACAACGCGACATCGTGGTCAACGCGATGCGCTTGTGTTCTTTCGAACGCGGTGATTCCAAACTCCTCGAGGGAGATTTTGCGCTGTAGGAGTGCTTTCCCTCGCATATAAGCGTAGTAGGATGTATTCTCCTGGTAAAGTGTTTGACTCGACTTGAAACTCACTCTGGCCAAGAGTGGCGTACACCTTCGCCCAGACGTCCCTGTCTTCCGCCGTCAGAATGCCCACGCCGACGTCCTTCTCGGGTGACATCTCCACGACTCGAATGAGCTGGGTGAGGATCCTGCTTTCGTCGTGGGGCACTCCGTGGGCATCGTACGCGTTGAAGGTGAACATCTGCGTGGCACGAAACTCGCACTCAGCTTCCAGGAGCAAAGTACAAGGAGAAATGTGTGGTGTATCGTTTTCCTTTGCATGGATCTGTATGGGCTTCAGAAAGTGAACTGGATTTTTCGGCAAAGCATAATTGAATTATGCTTCTCATATGGCTGAATGTCAATGTAAATTCACGCTTAAAAATTGTACGCGATGCAATTTTTTAACATGACGTTGATTGGATAAAAAAGCAAAACAGGGGAACGAATTTTCGTTGTTGTTTTTTCTTGCTCGGAGGTTTATTTTATAGCATAGTTCGTTTCATTCTAGCCCCGTGAGCGGCCGATGTTATGAGCCGAATAACCAATCAATCAGTAGAAAAGCGCAATGTCATGGCGTGCTCTCTGCGCTTGATAGGACTAGCCGGTGGAGGAGCACACACGGAGAGACGGCAAATACCGGGTGGCCCTATCAACTGCAGAGAGCACGCCATGACGTTGTGCATATTTCGCAGTTTGATTGGCACTTCGCATCATAACATCGGCCACTCTCGGACCTAAGCTGGAACGAAGTATAGCAGAATAAATAGATAGCATTCTCGTCGGCAGTACAACTTATTTTAGTGAATGAACCACTCTGCCAGAAATAAAACTAAGTGTGTTCCTCGCTGAGTAGATGGTTTCACTAAAATAAATACCACATTCGCCCGAACTGTCATTCATTTGTTCGACCACTCTTAGGCAAGGGTGGGAGTTCCCTGATAGATGCAATTTCATTTTGGGTTATATTTTTTTAATGCATGTAACATTATGTTTTTGAACTTGTGCATGTCATCACCACGTCTGTTGTCACTCATTCACATGAACTTTCAGCATTCTGTGGAGTTAGCTATTTTATGCAAATATAAAATCCAGTTTTTATTTTAATTTTTTTACGTACCGGGTTAACCACTGTACACGCAGGGTGCGATACAGTTATCACGAGAAACGCGGTCCTCGGTTCAATTCAAACTTCCGTCCCAGCTAAAAGGCAGTGCAGCGTTTTGGGTTTCTCGGATCCGAAGTTAAATGGGTCTGCAACATTTAGTAAAAACATTAACTTTTTATGTAGCTAAAATAGAGCCGAAGATGAGGAGCAGTCTTTGTAGTCCGGTGCCATCTTGTTGTGAAGTCTCCATGTGCAGTCTCTCTGGGAATCTTGCGCCGTATTAACTTATACCCTCGCGCGTAGGCTTACCTCGCGGTGGGAGGAACCGGTGAAATCGCGAGGCGATAGTGCAACCAAACGAGAGACTAGCATCCACGGTGCGATGGTGAACCGTGAGGTTATTATTCAATGTTATGGAATCTGGATATTGCGCGTAACTGATGCGAGCGTGCGGCAAGTTCCGGTGACGACGCGGCACATGAGTCGGGTATCGCAAACCGATGCTCTCAGGAGTCTATCAAGCCGAGAGGAGAAATGTTCTTTGGGGAGTCGCTGTATGTTGTTGCGCGCGTCACCACAGCAGTTATTGAGATGTCTCGATTCGTGAAATACCCGTCGGTACGTGGGCATCTAGCTTGGCGAATTCCTCTCGTCATTTTTAGGTGCTTGAGGTTGATTAGGGGGGCTTTCTGGCGCAACAGCGACGTGGCCATACTGCGCCAAACTTAAATAGTTATGCAAAGCAAAGGTAGAGTGTTATTTGATGCAGAAATAAAAGTCAGACACTCGGGCAAAAAAAAAATGCAGAGAAGGACCTAATTATCTGTGGTGATTACATACTATAGAAAGTGCATGTTGGAAAACCTAGAACTTTTGGGAAAAACCTGTTTTCTCAAGGATCATAAAAACACGTTCAAAGGAAATGATCGGCTGCTGGCCAAGCACTAGTGCAGGGTGAAATGGAACACAATACATTGCGAATTCCGGAAAACAGTTGAGGTGCTTGAGGAGGGACTTTTCTGGAGCGCTAGTCTACCACTGGGCGTTTGGGATCAATACAGACGTCTTTCACTCGTTGCTATGGAGCAGACAAGACTCCAGATCTGTATCTGGATTGCCCAGATCTCGCTCCGCTGAAAATTGAAGATGCAACCGGAAGTGGATACCTAGGGAGCACGTGACTTCGATTTCGTATCATGTGCTCTGACCTGCGATACGCTAACACCCTCGGCCACAAATAACTTTTTTTTACTGTTCGGCCACTAATCGCCCTGGCGCTAATTGTAATGGAGGATTCAGACAGGGATGCTTTGTGTGGATGAGCGTGACGTCAGCGATCGGCGGAACCAATGGCACTCCCGCCCGGTGTCCAGCATTCACACGATCAAACCGCGGGCAGCCGAGAGGGGTGTCCGTGTTAGCAGACTCATTTAGCGGTGGCATTTTCGAAAAAGAGGTCACGGTGCGCGCTGCCGAGGGTGTAAAAATAGAGGCGTACATCAAGCGGCGATACGCGACTATGGCATCAGTGCTGTTAGATGCATCAAGATCATCTGATGGGTTAGTTGGTAGAACATAATATGAATTAAATAGTGCAACACGACAAGAAACATAAATGCTTCTTGAAGGGATGGATGGAACAAAGAAGACGTAGAACCCCGACCAGTTATGTGAGGAAAGCCGTCAGGACGACATTGATGAATATCGATTACTCCTTCGGGTGTCTCAGACGACACACGCAACAAGACAAGCCACAGGTGTGCCTATCCCTATGCTACCACCAGTACCCGCAGAGCAAAATCTTTAAAGTTTGCCAGAGACGCGAATAAAATACTGCCATTTTCATATAGATTCCACGCCAGGCGGCGACTGCTTGTGCAGCACGAGCAAAAATCGTCCCCATCCCCCGAAATATCTATGTAAGCGCAAATTTGTGCTAAGGTGTGACGCCGTTACAACGTGATGCGCATCCCTGGATGCCAAGGGAGGAATTTCTCCACTCTGCGATTGAATGGTATCAGGGGATTTTTGATCAGATTAGATTACGTAGGTGTAACTGCTGAAGGCACCGGAAATTATAGGTATGGCTTTGTATTCTCTGATTTTCTCCTGTCCTGTGGTGTCACATACCAAACATGCAGTACTAAAACAGTTTGCTTCTCTTTTGTCACGTTGTATAAGGTGAGAGATGGGTGTTCTTTATAGTCAACTGATTTACTCCTTAGTGCTTTGAATTTTCCGATTTCGAAAAGCTGAGACAAAAGCAGATAGAAGCACTTAACCGCTACTTGGCCAAGAGATCGTTAGGCAATAAGAAACATCGTTTTTTTTTTATCACCACAGACATTCGCAGAATCACGCATATCGATGAAAGGACATTCGTGAATATGATCTATCATTTCTAATAAACATAGCACAGTTATTATTTATTTCGTTTTCATTTTGTTTACTTTGAGATCCATTACCTCTTTTAAAGCTCTGGCGGCTGCTTCTTGCGGCATGAAATAGTAAATATACAACGGTGCGCAACATACAACTATTTGAGTGTTTATCACCTTTGGGGCGACGAAGTTATTTTAATCTAGTGCCTCTGTTAAGTGATATCCTTCCGCCTTGGTCATCGTGTGAACGTTAAATACACTTTCTTAAGAATATTACCCCAAGAACAGCCTTTGTTTCATCAACTCTCAACTAAACACTTTTCTAAAGCGATCATACATAAATATTCAACATTTATATTCGCCTTCACCTACTGGCTTATCTGGGATTTTCCAGAGCGATTCCTTTGGTTCGTCCCCAGAGTAATATTCGGCTTATTGCGTGATGAAGACGGCAGATTACCTGACATTGATTGCACCCAATGGAAGTTCAGCGCTCACGCACCTGGCCGTTGTGTATGGCTACCACGTGTTCCCCAGATTTCTCGAGGGGCGTATTGAACTCCATTTTATCGCAGGCTATGGAAGGCGTGCGATAAACACTGAAGATGCGCTGGTATTGCGACATGTCCAAGGGAGTTTTTCCGCTGACATCAGGCTGGAGAAGTTGTCTGTGCGGAAATATGATAAATTATATGAAATCAGATATCGCACATATAAAAAATTTTCAAAACCCCATCTACCGACATTCGTAACACACACGTCTTGGGCAGGAAGCCTCAGATTAGCTCCGAGTCCTTGGTTTACGCTGACGACGCCACTGCGTCTAATAACTGCCCAGAGTAAGTAACCAAACAATGGCTGACTCGGATCATTTGTGCACCAGCTGCTAGGTGGCGCGGACATTTGATAAAGCCTCTATTCTATTACACAGGATTAACGTATATAAAACTGTGTAGTAGTGGACTACTTTACCTTTCAATTAAATGCTTGAAATTCAGCGCTCCTGCTGTGAGTGCAGCTGCCTGTCTGCAAACATATGTCGAACACTATCAGTCTGAAAGTTAAACATTTCCTAGAGAAATTAAGTTATTATAAAAGGTTAAAAATACCTGAGTTGATCTTTTTTCGTGGGAAATTTTTTCCTCGGAAGACTCATTGCCATTGACGTGCTTGACAAAGGAAGTCTAGACTTCAGAAATTTTCCAAGAGCTATTTCTGAAAACTTTAAAACCTCTGTTCAGTCATCCGCGTGATCATCTGTTTGAATTTTAAGTGCAATATTGATTTTAAAAAAACGCGGAGGAAAGTGGCAGTGCTTACCCAATTTGGGTTGCTGGAAGCTCGCTCTGCAAGTAGCTTGTGCAGAAGTTCTCCGTCGCCACCAGGCTTTCCAAAGTCCTGAACAACCTACCAACAGTGTGAGTAGTTTAAGATTGCGTTCTGCACAAAATATATTTGTTAAAAAAAAGACACGGGCACGCGCTTATATCTCTTAGAGGTTTTACATTCGTGTAGCTGGAAAAAATTATAAAAAAAATGACGCCAAAGGGGCATTTCTTTGTATCATTCTCGTGGTTATTTTTATCAAGAGGACCCCCTTCCTCCTACGGTTTACTATCAAGAAATATATGCTGGGAGCATCAGCATGTCCGTGCCAGGATGTATCGAAAAAGCTGGTCGTGACATTTTGCTTTCTTCCTAGATCAGCCAAATCAGCCATCACCCAGGGATATGCCGTACTTCAAGTTGCACGGCTCGAACTGTTCGTTGAAAGATGGTACCTGCCGTAACGACCTCGACTACCATAACTAGGGGCAAGCCGTTCGTTGGAGAGGCTGAAGCACATGGAAGAAGTGCCTGAAGCGAATGAACGCCTCGTTTGTGGCCCGCGATAGCCACCTGCGACTCTCACGGCAGCTCTCGTGTACAGACTTGTAAATTGTTCAGAACCCCCTCTGCACTATCCTGAGAAATGCAGATTGCATGTTACCTAAGGGGTTATTGACAGGTTGTCCTAGCGAGAAATGCCTTTTCCTGTTCACGTCTTTTGCTAGGCGAAATCGCTGGTTTTCCATCCGCTTCCCGTCCGCTTTTGGGTCGTTTTTGCAAGCTGGAAAATCACCCTCCATTAGGCTTCTTGCACGAACAGTTGGAGCGTGCTCATCACGGCGAGCAGACCGTTTCTACTCGCACAATGTTGTGGCTCGTCAAGGCTTCCGTTCTGTTTACGCGTCCCAAACCTTCCGAAACGAAGAAAGGCCAGAAGACGACAGCAGGAAGGTGAGAAGGAAAGCCGTACTACGCGGTATTGTTTGCGTGGTTGGTGTCTTCGGTGAAAATAGACACGCGCACCGAATTTGGAAACCCCTTAAAGGGACACTTATATATATATATATATATATATATAGTGAAACAAGGAGACGGCAGACTCTTTAAATCGACAGGAAAATTCGGTTTCTTAACCTATCGCGCTACGTCTTTCTGCAGCGTTGCCCACAGATGGTGCATTTTTTTTTTTTGTAAAATTTGCAAAAAGCGAACTTACCCGAGGAAAAAGTAAAGAAAGAAAAAGGCTTAGCTCCTATGGAAACGCAGCGAAGCTACCGGTCTGGAAACAACACGGCGCCGTTTCGCACGGGAGACAAAAGATGGCGCAAGCGGTCGCGACGCCAACTGCCGCCAACGAACGAGCAGAAGACGACGAGAGCCGGCGTCTTTAGCAGACAAGGAACTGCAGTTTCTTGCTTTTACCGCGCCTGTCTTTGTTTCTGCGACTGTCGCCGCCTGCGGAACGCGCGCCGCTTTTGAGTTGAAAACATTGTCTGTTAAAGACGCTGGCTCTCAGCGCCGTATGCTCGTTCGTTGGCGGCGTTCGTTGCGCCATCTCTTGTGTCCCGTGCGAAACGGCGCCGTGTTGTTTGAAGACCGGTGGTGTCGCTGCGTTTCCGTAGGAGCTACGCTTTTTTCTTTCTTTACTTATTCCTCAGGTAAGTTCGCTGTTTGCAGATTTTACAAAAAAAAAAAATGCACCATCTGTGGGCAACGCTGCACAAAGTCGTAGCGCGATAGGTTAGGAAACCAAATTTTCCGGTCGATTTAAAGAGCCTGCCGTCTCCTTGAATCACCCGGTATATATCTATATTGTTTGGATCTCAAACACAAAAATATGCCCAGCAAAAGACTATTACAGCACGGCGGGAGCAATAATTTTAAAACGATAATTTTAGATGTCAAGCGTTTTTCTAACCTAGCCGTTAAAATACGATGTGAGAAATTGAGCTTAGTCGAGGCACCTTCGGGCAATGCGCGGACCCGTATATGTCACTGAGGAAGGGAGCGAGATGCAAGATGCTATGCACACACCCTTTCTTTGCAGAAAAGTGCTCTGTTTCCATGAGGCAAACGTTGATTTAAGATAAAGTGAAAGTTATTCCAGCAAGCTCCCGACTTACAGGCCTGTCGCATGTTGGAAGGCGACTGACCCAAACTGATCTGTGCATTCATCGACACAAAACATCAATTTATCGTGGGGTAGTAAATAAAACAAATCAAAGTTGTTTATTCCATACCGCTATCCTGCGGTAAACAATACGTAGGCCAGACGGGCAGATGCCTCAATGATAGGTTAAGAGAGCATTGTTGCAATATGAACGGGGTAGTATCAAGACACTTGAGCATTCATTGTCGTGACTGTGGCTGTGATGCGAAATAAAAATAAAATGTACTGTCACTTGAAGAAGTGCCAATGAGCTGACTAGGGAGGCTATAGTGGCAGAGGCGATTGCGCGCTTAGGGAAAGAGTGTGTTAGCGTGCCGTCGGTTCTTTTGTTGGCTAAAAAATTAGATCTTCTTTCACGACGACAGCATGTGCGATGATTGTGCGGGTTTCAGTGGGGTGTCATGGGCTTTGTGTGATTCCTCTTTCGATCGTGTATATAGGCTGCACCTTGACGATTAAAGCTTGAGTTGTATGTTCAGCGGTTGTTTGTCTATTTCTTCCATCCCGTCTGTTGGCAGTACGTTTTAAAAAATCATGTCTTACCAACACTTCGATTCTGACCACATTTTGCCTCTAAAACAAACAAAACATAAATTATCTCGTTGGTACTGTCATTAAAGATCAATGAGCTATTATCTGTTCCCAATACGTTATTCAAATTTAGACGTATAATTATAAGGTCACGTGTCTGGTAGTCAAAAATATGCAACATGGCAGTGGCTGGGTGGGGGTCATTTTCAGTTGTTAATTTATTGCTCTAAGCCCCTCTACTTTGACGGTGTTGCGCAACAATGACTACCATGTCGTATAATTTTTTTTTTATTTTAACACAGGTTTCATTTGGGGTATTTTTTTAAACAATTTAAATTTATTAATGTCAATTCAAGGCCGCCGAAGAAAGTGCTATTGCATATAAAACGGGCATTACCCACTAAAAACGTTTCTCACGGCACTTGGTCTATTTTGACGGGGCAAAAGCAGCCACCTCTTTGATCGTGATCGGCACTAAAAGCACAAATCAAAATAGGAATCATTTTGTACCTTTCGAAATTCCTCCACCTCTTGTCCCTTTAGAAAGGGCTCCACGAAGTCCATGTATCTGCGAAGCATGTCTTGCAGAGGCACTACGGGTAAGAAGGGCAGTTCTTTCTGTCTGGACATCATGATACCCTCAGGTGTCTCAGGTTTGGCAGCGACAATTTGAGATGAAGGCATCCTGCAAAATGATAATACGCAACCGTGGCGTTTACCTGAAGTACCTTTTGGCTACGCGTCGTTCCTTCCAAAAGTGACTCCGCTATGTAAACCCTCTGCCTTCCTTCATAGGACTGAGATGTTACACGTTCGCCTGTCTCAAGACTAGCCGACAAAATTGACCTCGCATAACGGTTACCTTTGCATGTTACAATCTGTTCTGCCAACGTTGCTTAGACAAGAAGTTAAATACACTCGAACTTTCACGTCGCTACAGCATGACCGAGAGAGGAGAGAAATTGGATGCAACTACGCCGCTAGTGTTCTTTCGGGATTGCTCTCAATTGACGCGTCGTCGTCGGTCTGGTTTCAGATGGTGTAATTTTTTTCTTTTGACATAAAAAAGTAAGTTTACAGGTTCTACACCGTCCCTGTTGCACGCCGCCATCTGAGTGAACGGCACGGCGGAAACCCTCTAATATTCCACATCGCCAGTAACAGCTGAAAGCGTGCGCTTCAAACAGGATGCGCCGCTCTATGTACAGGGTTCCAGCGAGTACACCTACTCAAAACGACTTAATTTTTTAGATAACCTAGTTTTTCACAAGTTTTGCGATTTGAAAGCTATCGTCCAAAAATTGATCAAGCGAATATATTATCATGATTGAAGGTGACCAGAAGACAAGCATTGAACTGAAAATAAAGGTTTAATCGGCGAAGTTGATCCAAACAAAATAAAATACAAGCGTCGGGGCAACAAAAAAGCGTAAGGCAATTTGGCGGCGTAACAGCATACGAAAGCGAGACTGACCCGACAACGTCGCAGGTAGCTTCTTATCTTGAGCGTGTCGGCATCTGGAATGTTCCGCAAAGAAGCTTCGAGCGTCCGGCGCTCGGGGTGAGATGAACATGCACTTTCGAAAACAAGAAACAAGGACGAAATGATAGTTACGCAACGAGCCAGAATGCACACGAATCTTCTAGAAGTGCGTGACTCAGTATTGCTTGCTTGACCCTGCGCGCGAATTTATCCCCCTCCCCCCCCCCCCCCCCCCCCCCCCCCCCTTTAAGAGCCCATAGTCCCGATGCCACGCGAAAGAAAAACAAAAATGGCTAAAAAATGTACGGGGGAGCTAAAATAAAAACGCAGTGTCACAATCTTAACGCGTGTAGAACTGCTTGAGTCAAACAACGTGGACGACTTCGGGTCGTGGCAGGCGGCGTCCAGATGCTCGGGTTATGTCGGGAAGCTCCTTGTATTTCAAGCCCCCACGTCGGCCAATGACCTTCCAGGGTCCAAAGTAGCGCTTTAACAGTTCTCGCTCAGGCCACGGCGGCGAATAGGCGTCTACACCCACACCCTGTCTCCGGGCTGAAACTCCACGTGGCGGCGACGAAGGCTGTACCGCCCAGCATCGATACGTTGTTGGTAATTTATC